TTTATTTTACACTACAGGAATTATCCTGGCATGATTATCTGTAAGCTTTGCTACTGATGCAGAATGTAATTTTTTTTTCTCTCACTTTCTTGGATTAAAGATCTTGTTCACAGTTCACATAATTTAATGATCTTGTGCATAACTGAATATATTTGTAAGGTGAAATAAGCTGATATTTTTCTTTTCCTGACAGTCCATGCCACCCTCCCACATGCAGCAGATGCCTCCTCCTCCCCAGCACATGCCTATGCACGTCCCATTTTCCCAGGGGGCTCCCAGTATGATCTCCGCTCTCAATGACGGTCCAGTGGACCGCCGCGTCATTACAGTTCCACCAAACAGGGATAAGTATTCAGGAAGACCCCCGGCACCCAAGACCCGCCCTCCCAGCTCCAGCGAGAGCAGCCGCAGTGGCTTTGGCCGTAACGATGACCGTGGGGCACCAGGCGGGCGGCGTTACCCCTCTCCAACCAGATCTAGAGGAATTCCCCGGAGCTACAGCGAGGAATCCCTGGACGGGAGAGGTCACTATAGATCGAAGCCGGGCATGAATCGCCCTCGCTCCCGTTCCAGGGATGATTTGTTTGATAGCAGGTCCAGAGGGGACTACTCTCCTCCAGCAGGAAGACGCTCCAGGGGATCGTGGGGCTCTGATGATGACTCCAGCAGCAGGAGAGGAGCAGCAGGGGGTAGAAGAGGAGGAGCAGGAGGAGGAGGACTCTGGGTTGACAAACCTCCCAAGTACACAGAATACGAGCCAGGACAGAAACCAGGACCACGGAGGAATGAGTACTCTGTAAGGCACTCATTGTTTAAGTAAACACAGAAATGATCAAAATAGACAGGATGAAATGTTTGATTTGCCCGCATCACTTCTGAAGTGAATCTAAAGTCGTTTTCTCCTTCACAGGACAAAAGTTCCCGGAGCGCCACCAGTGTTGTCATCTAAGCTGTCCGGCAGGGAAACCATTTCTGACCTCTCAGCAAACGTGCACAACTCATTTGCCTTTTCTGGCTGTGGGTAAACTCTTAAAGGATGACACAACAGTTTTTTTTATTTTTATTTTATTTTTTTTGCCTAATTAGATGGAAAGAAGATGGAAATCTATTTGAAAGACTCAGTGAAGCCTGTAAATTGTGAAATGCTGCGAGCTTCTAATGGTTTCCTTTGTTTAATATTCTGAGTAACACTCCCCTCTGCTGGTTTGTTTGTGTGCTTAAAAAACTGAGGTAGCATCAAAGTCACAGCTTAATGTCACATAAACCTCAGGTTGGATGTTTGTGCAGCAGCACAGGCAATTCCTGGTGGTAATAAGATAATAAATGCTTTTGCAATTGCAATCAGGGCCAGTAAACTGCAGCTGTTACATTACACCTATTTGTACCCTTAATAATATGAAAAGACCTTTGTCCATGTTATGCTTAAATTTGTAAGTGTTGTAAATAAGTGTATTTTCACATCTGCTGGGCATCTTATAGTGAGTGCAATGAATATATATTTTTTAAGGTTTTGAGGGTGCCACAAAAAGCAGTCTGGGTTATTTTGAACATGTTTGTAAATTTTTGTGCAGGCAATAAATTACATATTTGCACTTAGTGCTCACTTGAAAAAAAAAAGAAAAAAGACTGTGTGTAAATAAGTGATGATTTTCAGTGATGTAGGACACACTCCAAACTTTTTTTTTCTTTTTTATAGTTGCACATTCTGAACATATAGTTGCCCTCGATTTCTCTGTTGCTTAAAATCATGTACAGTTGGTTTGAATTTATTAATAAACTCTATAACTTTTAGGTATCATTGTTCTCCGTCTTGAAACTTAACAGTTGAAGAAAAATATACTGTCCCTGTGACTGTGTTGTTCTTGGTTGAAGGTAAGGGATGTATTCTACATACGTTTTGAATCATTTGTGATAAATAATAGATGCCATCACATCACCCCCCCTAGAATAATGTAAAATTGTTCCCACATATATCATTTACATAAAGGTACAAAATCTTAAGTGGCATTGTGATAAAAATTGTCTTGTTTTTGGCTCGAATCTATAGATCTGTCTTGTATAAAATTACATCACCCTGTCCGTGACTTAATCACCACATTGTCTAAAACTGGCATGAATAAATATTCAGCTTCATGAAATCGGCTTTAATTTCAGTTTGAAATAAACACTCCACTAACAAAACAATCACTATTTTTCCCTGTAAACACAAAAACATTGCATATAAAATCAAATGGCATGATTGGTTCAAGTTTTTTTTTTTTTTTCTCTCTTCAGCTAGTAAATTTCAACTTCACCCACTGAGATATATCAGAAAAGGACTGCACAAAACGACACAAATGATAAAACGGGAACATTTAAAGAAAGTTTTAACAATCAATATTTTCTAACTTGTTCCTACAATGCCACAGCAGTCACGCAAAGAGGTAAATGTAGTGTGGATAAGTTTAAGAATCCCTGAAATGCAAATTAAATCCTATATTTTTTATATTCATTTATTTTTACCAGAACGACTCTACAGTTGTGCAGTTCCGTCTTCCCTTTATCTGCTTTCATGGATATGATGCCGTGTGCACTAATGAGTAGCTGACTTCAGCGTGTCTCAGTTGACAGATGAATTATTGTCTGTCTTATTTATTTTTCTGCCGCTACGTATCGTTTTCCATATCTGTGGCTTCATGGATCAGAGGAAAAACAGTTTTAACTTCAAGTGCTCCTGAGCTCGGTAAACCAGAACAATATTGCGTTGATAAGTGTACAAGCAATAAACCTGATGTGGCGTTTGCGCTTTCCTTTGATCTCCAGCTCATAACTCTTATCTGTCAAACTGTGCCTGAACTGCGACTGTGCAGATGTAGCTTTCTGGAGTTGTGATGCGTCAGCTGTGACTGAGCCTGTTCATTTTGCCCACTCATTTATCTGGACAGCTTTAAGCCGCTTCTTTCTGTTTTTCCGTTTTGTTGTTGCGCCATGTGGTCCGTACATAAATACTGCTCTTTGAGAAAGCCTCTCTGAGCCTCCAAGTACTTTCCCTCAGGTTTGCATGTGTGAACTTTTGACTGATTCGCGTACAAAGGAAACCCAGTTCAGCTTGCTTTTCCTCAAATGCCAGTCTTAGTAAAAAAAATAAAAATAAAAAAAAGCAATTTAACAACCTTTATGTTGGATTTTACAGTTAGTGGTGCACTAGAGTATTATGTGTTAAGCTCAAGGCCCGGGGGCCAAATCGGCCCACCATAACTTTTTTATGTGGCCCTCATAAAATAGGAAATAGGTCTTTAAATATGTAACAGCTGCATAGAGAAATGCTACTTTGTCAGCCAAATCAAAGTAGATTTTGTCTGCGTAGTGCCAAATACATTAAAAGATGCTCAGTACTATTTCATTTTAAGAAGTACCACATACGTATATTGTGTTTTATGGGTTATTTTTCTACAAAAAAAAAAAAAAAAAAAACATATGTTGAGCTACATTTGTGAATGGACATATTCTCAATAAACATCAACGCTGGTTGCAAATCAAGAAGTAAAACTAAGTGAACATCTTTAGTCGAAATAATTCACTTTTCCAGAAGAGCTGAGCCAAATGATTCGGATCCCGGAAAAGAACCGGCCGAGGCTCTCGTCACAGCCACCGTGCAGCGGGTAGCTCTTCAGAGTCGCGTTTGGATGACGACGCTAGCAGAGGAGGTGCTGCTTTGCCACGTCGGTCTCTGTGCAGCGCACTTACACTGTTGCTCCTCCAGCCCAGCACTAACTTCTAGAGCCGATTTATGTTTCCAGAGGAGGAGAGAGCGACCCCCCAGCGTCGCCGTTGCCGTTGTAAGTCGTCGCCACGCCCGCATAGTGTTGGATATTGAAGCTGGAAGGTGGAGAAATGCCCGTTGCTGTCTGGACTCGTCACACAACTGACTGATGCATCCTCGCTCGGCTCAGTTCAGCCCTCCGCATGTTGTCGATGTTGTGTGAGTAGACCTAGCTTTTAAATTCTCCTCATTTATTCCAACAGACTAAACAGGCTAGCAGCTTCACGTGTGTGTCTTTTATAAGGCGAGCTTTATAAAGTGTTCTCGCAAGTTTTCGTGGGGGTTGGGGGGTGGGGGGGAATGAACAACGCTGCCTTATGCCATGATTCACGCAAGCAGCTTTAGTGCATGTCTTAGCAAGTCAGTGGCCATAAAACACCTCATAGCAAAATGTTCCTTCGAGGAAGAAAAACAGCAGAGTCCAACAAGTGCATGTTCAGGACTTCTTCATCTCCAAAAGCCACTTGGAAGCCCAAAAAGAGAGACGCGCTGTTGCATCACGAAGACCGAATCATTGTCTGTAGTCAACAGTTCCTGTTTTCACTTTTGACTTACAGCTGTAGTTTAGGTCCCTTGTGGTGTGTTTGCGTGCATGCTAACGTCTGTTTCCTGTTTGTAGATGCAGCTCAAACAACCTAATACTGCTGCTACGCGTTCAGCGAGCCTCATTATCAGCATCTCCATCATTTTTCATAAAGCACATCAGCATAAAGGAGATGTTGGTTCAGCCAAAGGCTGGATGCTGTCAGCCTCTGCTTTGTGTTACAACGGCAAGGAAAACTGACTTGATTAAAGTAATAAAATAAAATAAAATAAAAAACATGATAGGGATAAAAAAATGCACAAAACACACAATGTAGTCCCTTTTATGTGACGTTTAAATCGGGTCCTACAGATTATGTTTTGGTTGAGCTTGTATTCGCAGCTTGTTTTAACGTAGGGATTCAAATGTCTTGTTTTAGGCACTAGCTTTTTGTCGACCAGAAAACAATGCTATGGATCTCAAACTTTTATTTTAAAAGTAATAAATACCACTACTACTACAGCTTAAGTGGCATTGCATAATTGGTTGAAGGAACTAGTGTGTGTGTGTGTGTGTTTGTTTTATTTATTTATTTATTTTTTTTAAGTTGACATCTCAAAACTTGAAACATTGACAGAAATTTTCTAGGTGACAAAATTCCAAGTGCGAAAATCAGAGGTTCAACATCGAAATCCAGTACGGCCTCCTTGTATGTAAAACTTGGTGATTAGGGCTTCACAATATTAGAAAAATGTGCGATAATGTTGATTATTGTTGCGATGACAATTTTACCCTGAGATGGATAAAAAAGTGTTTGGCTTTCAGTTCACAGCAAACAGACCGGAGACTCTTCTGTTCAACTGCTAGAAATAATAATTAAAATATTTCTATCCCAGTGATTTTTTAAAAAATTTTAATTGAAAAAAGTGGGAAGTTCTGGCTAACACCTATATTTTCTGAATGACTTGACCACTGCCACCTCTCTGCCTTCTAAAACGCTTTACGCTGCATTTAACAGCCACCGCACCACACATGTTACAGGCACCAACAGCCTGAGTGCATGGTGTTTAAATGATTAGCTACCATTTATTGCAGCCCGGGCAGACCTTAACTGTGCATATTGTGTGATTAAATGAGGAAAAAAAAAAAAAAAAAAAGATTTATTTGTCTTGGTCACACTCTGAATATTATACAATCTCCTCAGTGAGCATGTTGCTACAGAGTTTAAAAATACAAAATGCAGAAAAAGTTCATTGCTAGTTTGCATTGCTCCGAAGCAGCCGAGGAAAACAATTCGCAGGTCCTGCTAGTTTTTGAATTTCACACTGAAATTGGGACTTCAGAGGGAATTTGGACTCAACTAAGGCAACCGCCACTATTTGTACATCATACGCTCAGATTTACCTGGAAATTACCAGCAAAATGTTCTTATTAGTTCTGCTACAGGTAATCTAAAATAAATAGATAGAATATACTTTATTGATCCCCGAGGGGAAATTGCTTATTTGTTGATAAGGTTCTCCATCTAACTATTAAATATTAATGATACTCATATGCTTCCCAATGTTCACATATTTTGAGATGCGTTGTCAACAACTTTCCTCTTGAGTTTCTGACGCATAAATTTGGGATGTTTTACTGGTTGTCAGTCACAGGTACAATCGGTTGCCTGAGAAAGGGCAAGTCTGCTTAGTGGAAATACTTCAGAGGTAAAATAGAGGAAGAAACAAGTTATGAATGATCTCCTACGTCTGTTTTTCTTCGTCTTAAATCCTTAGTGGAAAAACGACGACAGTAAATATATTAAGATTCAATTTAGATGAACTCATTCAAATATGAGCAAAGAGGATTTATTTTTACACACTGTATTTTTTTAACTTGGGCAGCGTTTCAGAGATCAGGCATACAGTTTTGTAGTTTTGCTTTTTTTTTTATTTTTAACATGGACATAATATAAATCTTTTTGCCATTAATAGAAACTGTCAATTATTATTATTTTTTATTATGTGAGTTAATTTTGCTTTCGCTGGAGCTTTTAAATTTGGTTTGGAAGAAACACTTTTCATTAAAAGTTAATTAAGATAAGTAATAAGTCCCCATCAATTGTGATGTAGGGATACACAGTTCATTGTTTTAATAAAGTGTCACGTTTGGTGCCAAAGAGGCTGAAAAATACTTGAGGCAGCTTCTGAACTTTGCAGTATTTTAATAACCTGCAGACTTTCCAAAAAGTGTTAAAGTGCCGGCGTAATTGTCGTCTATGTTCCAGTCAGACATTGCTTGCTTTATAAAAGCAGCACATTACTGATTAATATACCTGTAACTTTTCTACTGTAATAAAGCCTTTTTTTTTTTTTTTTTTTTTTTTTTTTTTTTTTACTTTTTTTTTTT